TTTTTTCTTCTTTGATTAGCTAATAATGCTCCCCTTGAGCATAAAATGATAGCGGCATTTGCCGGTGTTGCATAATGTTTTCTATCTTGCAGATCTGACTTGTCCAGTGATCTCAAATGTCCGAAGATACCGAATCTGAGACGGAATTTCTCACTCAAGTGTTTCCTGTACCTGAATCGGACACCGACGAACCACCAGATCCACAAAAGGCACTTACTTCCCCGGAGGACTATATTCGATTTGTTCGGTGAGCTTCAATTAGTTTATGTATGATCCTTGGGCGTCTATTCTTTCCCTTCTGTGGAATGCAGACACGAGGCCGAATCCTATCCGGCCGTATTCTATTCCCCTGCGCTTCTGACAGAAAACCAGAGTAACGCTGTTTGTGTCCAAGAAAATGTGTTTCAGTCACCTGTTTCTTCCACAGAACAAGAGGTGACGTGGACCAGTTTGTTTATGGAAGCGGTCGAGGTAGTTACCTATTTTTTAATTTAAATGTTTCAAGGAATATCAGTTTTGCAAAAGTATTCTTTTAGAAGACCTCACCAACAAAGAAGTAAGTTTATTTAATGTTTTTTTATTTGTGTTCCTCTAACGCAGTACCAGGCGTACGCATTCACTTAGGGTTCTTTATCTGTCTAGCTCAAGCTAATTATGGGCTGGCTTTAGGTAAACTACATTCTGAACCGGTGTTGTGGGAGGTGGAAGGTTGAGTGCAGTTTTCAGTTGTAGGGCGAGTCTGACTTTTTTGTAAAGCAATGTGTTACGAAGAAATGGTGCGAGGAGAAAAATGTCACGCGCACTGTTTGCAAATCAAGCAAGCAATGAGAGGATAATTTCAAAGGTGGGGTTATTTCCAACAGGTTGAGCGAGTCCATGAAACCGAGGAAGGTTAAGTGGAAGATAATTTTGAGCAGACAAATTTACGTTTGAGAAAAATGGTCCAACATTGTATTAGCGCAAGCTAATTGACTTTCTATGCCATATATATATATATATATATATATATATATAATGTCTCTGTGTGTGAGTCTGGGTATGGTGAATACCCCTCTTGCTTGGTTTTTAGTCAGGATTTTTAGCCAATTTCCTTCTTGGAACTGCCAATATTTCACAAACCCGGTTATAGCTTTGTGTATTGGCTTTTAGTCCTCCCACTTGTGGGAAAAGGTACCTGCTCCACGGTAAGGCAGTGACTAGGGCTACGTGAAACTATATGAGATGCTCAGTCTTGTGGGTGCATTTCGCGAAGTACGAGGGAGAGTTGACCGACCCTAACTCGAGACACCCAGCCCCGACCATACCAAGGCTTTCGAAGGCACCGTGCCTTTGAGGGGTAGACTGAACAAGGAACGCAATATGGAGTAAGGAAACAATTTATTGGCACACATTTAACTGATAACATGATGGGTGGGAGGGCATCTGGTTTGGGTGACTTGTGTGTACTCTGCGATGACAGAGTTGATGCTTTCCGAGAGTATATAAGTAGAGCAGCGTGACAGTAAAAAAAACCGATGCACAAAAGTGTATGGTTAATGGTTGTACAAAGTGAAGCTGAAATCGTGACGATTTGCTGTTAGTTATGTGTCTGATGGGTTGGGAGTGACAGACCTAATTTCGAGGTTAGCTGATGCCTGCTTCCCAGGAAAATTGCAATACTAGGTTGTGGAGTGGGTTCTATAATAGGTGATCAATTGAAACGGCAGAAGTTACATCGTAATGCCTTGCCAGTTGGTTGTAAAGTCTTGCTTCTTGAACGAGCAGCATTGGTCATCTGTCATTTTTCGCGTAACACATCCTTCTACGTTGCTGTCGACCAGCTGAATGGAACTTGTACAAAATGGTGACGGTATCGGAATCAGTCTCATTGGAAGGCCGACCATAAGTGTGATTTAACCATTCTAGGATGAAATGATTTGGTGGGCTTTATGAAGTAAACAATGTGACATGTTACTGGTTACCACATTTTGGTGAAGCCGGAATCGGGGATTGAAACATCTGTGATCGTCGAGGAACCGTACTGCCAGCTTTTTCATCTATAACTGATAGGTGGATTAAAATAAGTAAACTGAGTAGAAAGTGAAATCATCACAAAGTCGAGCGCATAGCGATTGTCTCCCATGCGGCTCACCAGTCGGAGCAAGTGGTTTCTTTGTCCGACGCCAATGTTTACTTCACGTCCAAGGGGTAATGTCCTGGGGGTAGTACTAAAACTATCTATGGTTCTTTTCCTCATTTTCGAAAATGGCGAGGAATATGGCGGCAAGATAACTTCTTCAGTCCTACATTTTACGAAAATTCCCGAAGAGCTTTCTTTCACTGCCGTTTGTTTCAGCGTCTCACGCCGCAGCAGCTGACAAATCCTGCGTTGTTTGAAAACGCGCCTTCGCTATCATGGATTGCTGTTCGATGTCGGGTAATTATTGTTGGTGGCCCTGTGATTTTGATAATTTACACCCAAATAGGTCGAAATAGATGCACTTTTGGAACTCATAGCTTCTCAGTGCACCCGTAAACGGTGGAAACCCTCTATGGTGAGTCTATTCTGCTTGAGTTTTATTTTGTTTACGTACCAGACGGTTTCTAGTGCAAAAAGTTGATTAACTATCTTTATAAGCTTTTTTAAAAAAGTGATTTTATTCAACATTGAATCTCTATTTAAGAACGTACTCTCGTTGATCCGCTCCATGATTTCATAGCACCTAATGTTATACACTCAGGAGTATTGATGAACGAGTTGAAAAGGTGCTGTTGCTTAAATGCGGATTTAACATGCATTTCGTTTTTTGTTCACAACTTGCTGGGTAGTTACGGGATTTCCAGCAGATTAATATGATTGGTCGCACGATAAGGTGACCTGCGTGGACGGATGCGCCAGACAATCGCTTATGATTCGAATCTCAGCCAGGCTGGATGATGGGAGGGGGGTTCACTGACAATCTGCAGACGAACAAAAAATGCAAATACAATGAACCCAAGGG